GTGCCGTAAAACAGTGTGGACAACTTTGGCCAAACCTAAAATAAATTATGCCCTTGTGTTTCTTTTTCTCTCTTTTTTGGTAACGTTAATTTCAATTGAATTGAACAATAAGAACGAGGAGTTATAAAGAAACCCTTTTTTGTATCGAAGTTAAAAGTTTATAATAATTTTAAGACCCTCGTATCGATCATTATTGTCACAAACACGAATAACTTTTATAGTCATCACATGTACAGGATAAGAATGTTACAACACGGTCAAACCATGTGGAAATTTTCGAACAGGCGGGTCTACTCTTATATAAAGAAAACGTCAAACTGAGTCGCAAATCAATCCACTGAAAAATAAAAAAGAAGACTTTCCTTCCTAACAAACTCTGACAAAACTCTAACAAAACTCTAACAAAACTCTACCTAACTATCTACACACCAATAGGAAAGACGAAAATGGTTCGAAAAATTCTTGCTGCACTCATCTTGTTGGCTATGCTTTCCACGCTCAACGCTATGCCAAGACCAATAATTGGAATAATTGGGCAACAACATCTTACCTGGAAGAAATGTCGTGATTCAATTCCACTACTTACCGTACAAGCAGATATGCCTATACCTGGTCAAAACGAAACCGTTACCATTTCAGGAGAGGTTCCAGATGAATCCGCGCAATATCAATGGAGTTTTAGTTATATCGACCTTGAAGGAAAACCCATTACCCTTTCCTACAAGGGGGCTTCCGTTCCTTTTTCTCGGGATTCGAAGCGCTTTGACGTTGCAGGAACTGCTAAAGTATCGGACAAGATAGCCGAGCATACTCAATATAATTTCGTCGTTAGGGTTCGGAGAGAAGCTGATAAGAAGAATGATAAACCTAAGTATGTGGCCTGTGCCACAGCTTTAGTCAACCAAATCATCGAGTAATTAATGTTTGTATTCTGGAACCTTTTTCCTTGCCTTTTTTTCCCCTGTTCCCCTTAATCTTTCTTTTGCTGCGATTACCATTGTTGATAGAATGTAATTCGAATAACGCCACATAGATAATAGAGATTATTTCACTTTTAGAATTGTCAGTTTATAAATTATTACTCTTAATACATGTCCTTTAATAAAAACATCATGCCTTACGAAACTCAATCCTCATTATTATTGTTGAAATGTGAATATTAATACCTGTTTTGATATTCTAATCTTTGCTTTACTCGGTACTAGTACCTAGTTTTGAAAAGTAATAATGGTGCTCATTCATGACTTATGGACTTGTTAATTTTAATGTTCATTTTAGAATGTGATGAATATAAATCATAACATGATTAATATAGAATTATCTCTATATAAAAATATTGATATGAAACTAATTTACATTAAATCCACTATGGAACCCAAAAATTACAGCACAATTAGAAGCATTCTAAAGAAAACTCAAGGAGAAAAATTGCTCCATACGTTTTAAAATCAATGACACCAAAATTCTCGAGAAATATCTAGATAAAGAAAAAATCACTTATGAAATTTACCAAGAAGAACGAAAAAAAATAAACAATAAACGAACCTTAACCCCAACTTATGATGAACCGAGAAAGAAACAAAAATTAGAAGACAGGTAAGGGAAAGCAGTTTAATGTAAAGCTTTCACCAAGACCTCGCGGCTTATCAACAAAAGATCATTCCTTATAGTCACTAGCTTTCGATAAAAGACTGCTTGAGCGCATTCATTGATCTTTGACCACATTTCACTACTTAGTCAAGATTACACAACAAAAATTCAATTTTGTAAGCACAGTTTTAATATAGCATGCAATCGCTCTATATGCACACCCTATATGGGGAATGCTGCATCTTTTTTCCTCAAAACTAATACATGCCATTATGGCCATACAGTCACTGGACATTGGAATTGACTTACAAGATATAATGTTACACAGAATTTATTATTTGTTTTGATGTTGACAATATGGCAACAATAATTGTAATGATAAGTAAACTTATACATCTTGTTAAGCTCTATCATGCTACAGTAACATATTGTGAACAAACCATTTAGTTAAAGAGTCATGTTTATTCAAAGTTGTGTTTTTTATCTTTGTGAACAGATTCTTTTAAAGCGTACATAATAAAATCTAAACAAATTCATAGAATTGATGGAAAATACATCAGTAAATATCTTGTAAAAATTTGGTGTGCAACACATGTATACAGGGTTTAATTTATGGGTACCCGTAGCGTTAGTGAATAGCAGCACCGTCAACCTCGATTTATCCTACATGTAAGCAATACTTGGATATGTAATCTATCAAGTTTACCTTCTTCCGTCCAGAAATAGAGCCGGTAGCTAGTGTTTTGATTTGGTTCCATGCAGTAAAACAGCCCGTTTCATCGGCATTGTAAATGTCGTTTGGATCATACCGTGACAAAAGCTCTTGTAGCTTGGCTTGTTCGATATGGAGAGTCTCGAGTGGAGCACTATAACCCTCACCACTATAATTTATTCGACGCAGCCCAACTCTTTTTTCAATTTACATAGCCAGCCATTAGAGTGCTTAGGCGGTGAGTCTAAACCCACCCAAAACTGATGCGAAATAAATTCCCTTCTCTTGAATGAAAGAAGACTAGGGCTTGACTTATCTATATCTGTATTGCACGTTCAAATTCAGGATATTTAACCTTGCGTAGACGATAGATAGCTGATAAACTTTGAACAAGAGTGAGCCATTTTTCCCTTTAACTGAGAATTTTTGTTACTGTTGAGCGATTTATTGAAAGATTGTCTTTTTCATTAAAGTAATTAGCAATTGAATTATGGATTGTCGTGTGCAAACTTGCATATTTCACGTTTTGTTTCCACGCTTATACGCGATCGTTGACGCATTGCTTCAACTCGTGCCTTTTTTCTGTGGCGTCGAGAATTTGGACATAATATGTAAGTGGGACATGTAATAACGCTTCCAAAAATAATTACTCGTTCTCCACAAAACGGTGATAGTGACTATAACGCAATTGTGACTGTATGGGAGGAATTTATTAAGAAAATGTTTGATTCTTCCTTAAAGACGTGGTGAATTTGATTCGAGTATAATTTTGCAGTAAAGTTATTGGTCAGATCGGTGTTGCACATGATTATAATGATCAAATCACGAGACCACCATATTTTTGTGGTAAGTATATTAATAAATATTATTACTTTACTCTTTTCTATCGAAATGGAATTCATTCGCAGAACAACAAATCGAACAGGAATATTCTCACAAATTTACCACGATGGCCAAACTCCCCCCCGTAACACAGCTTACGGACGTAGTTACTCGCATTCTCGGGCTTAATCCAGGAACATTCACTCTTCAAGGTATCGATAACACAGTCTCAATGGCATAAATCAAAAGGCATACCCAACTTATCCTGTTTTTCAATTTTATGATTTCCTCACCTTCACTCACTTAATAACTAGGAACCAACACTTACTTAATCGGCACTGGTAAATCTCGCATTCTTCTTGACACCGGCGAGGGTAAAGCAAGTTACCTTTCCCTACTCGTTTCGACACTATCTCTTGATCAACTCACTATATCCGACATTCTTCTCTCTCATTACCACCTTGACCATGTCGGCGGCGTCTCTGACATTATCTCCTACTTTGCGTCGAACAATCTCCCACTTCCGCGTATTCACAAGTATCCCTATGCGGAAGATAAGGTAAAGTGCCAACCATTGGAGGATGGGCAAGTGATAAAAACAGAAGGAGCAACGTTACGGGTTGTGACTACTCCTGGACATACCGAAGACCACGTTGCATTCTACTTGGAAGAGGAACGGACGATATTCTCAGGCGATTGCGTGTTAGGGCAAGGGACGACAGTGTTTACTGACTTAGAAGCATACATGAACTCATTGTTGAAGATGAAGTCATTTCAGCCAACAAAGATATACCCTGGCCATGGACCTGTTGTACAGGATGCAATTAGCAAATTAGGTGAATATTACCAGCATCGACTTGAACGTGAGAATCAGATCATAAAGGTTATGGCTCAATTAGGTGGAACGGTGACTGCTAGGGAGATCGTTGAGGTTATATACAAGGATTATCCAAAGAACGTGTGGGAGGCTGCTGAGCGTGGCGTCGTCATGCATTTGAAAAAGCTGGAGAAAGATGGACGAGTTGAGAGGCTTGACGGAGGAAAATGGTTATTGAAGAGAGAGGCAAAATGGTAGTGCGAGAGAGATTTAGAAAATACGAAACGTTGGGGAATTGTGTTTGTTGGAGGTTAATGAGTGCGGAGACATGAGCTAAGGAAAAAAGTTTATAAGGATGTTTAATGAATTGATTGAAAAGTCTTTTGTCTTTATTGGGAAAAAGTAATTGATGTCGTTATCGCTTGCGCGTTATTGCATAGGAGTAATATGCACACAAAAATAGCCCCGGCTGTCTGAAAGTTTTGTTGTGATAGACAGTTTTCGTTGGGAGAATCTTATTGCTTTATCTCGGCATGTTACAAGGGCTGTAAAGGGCCATTATACCGACCCAATCCGTTTGGCATATGTATTGTTTGGACATTACCGGTGGAAGACAAGCTGTTCAAAAACGTCCTTCATAACCATAGACGGTTAATGTTTACCGATTGTACAATGTTAATTAACCAAAAAGTTTTCTTGTGGAAGCTAAACAATTAAAGCTTTTATTTGGATAAGCTAATTTATCTAACAATATTAAAGAACAAAAAAAAATAAAATTTTTTTTTCAAATAACTTAAAGTATTTGATCTATATTTGTATTGTCTTTCATTAAAGTCTACTTTTAAATCATAATCAAACATAGCTCTTTAACATTCTCTTTTTCTTTATCCAAGCAACGAATACTACCCTTTCACAGGTATTCTATTTACTTTCTTTTTTGGATTATTATTATTACTACATTAAATCCTCTTCCGGTTTGGCTGTTCTTGTTTTATGTTTCATAGTGACACCATTTTCATTTGTCACTTCACAACCTTCCATGAAACAAGTTTCATAAATTTTCGTTGTCGCTTCTTCTTCGTCATGTGATGTTTCTCGCCAACATCTAAATTCAGTCAGCATTCTATATTTGTTCGATTCCTGAGCTTTCTCCATAATGACAAATTCACATGGGTGCAGGTTTTCAAGTGATTCGAAATATTCAACTGACCAGTGATACCATCGCATCGCGAATAGGCGAACAAGGAGACCATGGCTTACTATGACGAGAACCGAGGGAAAATCGGGTTCGGCAAAGGCGCGGTGAAGACTGACAAAAAATTTTGGTGATGGGGTTTGGTGAAAGTGTGAAAAGAAGAGATGATTAAGATGAGCGTCTTATGATGAGCTCCGATATCAGTAACTATGAAATCGTCAACCACTTACGTCTCTTGGAAAGTAGATATTCTGTCATAGACATCTGCACCACTCTCACCATGCGGTATACGATAGAAACTACCAGACGGCACCAGCAAGATCAGTTCACAGAATGAAAACAACATTGAACGTGTTAGACATTACTTATTATCGACTTACAAATGACCGTAAGCTTCCCGTTCTTTTCTAATTCTTTGCATTTCTTCAGGAGGAAACTGGAAATTACCCCAATCTATATGAATCAGCCAGACAGACCCGACCGACGTTCACATTGTCAGTAAAAATGATAGAACACCTCAAGCAACAAAACCTCATTCACCACCTCTTTCCTCTCCAAACCTTGTTCTCTTAGCCTCGGCTCTTCATAGCACCTCCATCGATTTCTATCTAACGCTTTAGCCATATGCTTAAAAGTCTGTCTAGCTCTCGAATACGGACTGATATAAAAATGCACATTATCATCGGGCTTCAGCAGCTCAAGTAATTTTTGACCAGCTTGAGTCGCTTGCTGAACGCCGAGCTCTGTGAGATTAATTTCGTGGTCAGGGACAGTGCGGTGGATGGTTATGTCGACATTAGCTTCAGATTGACCGTGGCGGATGAGTATTATAAGCCGGGGATGCATGATGACGAATGGGGATGTTGATAAGTCCAAAAAATTGCGCAAGTAAGTGCAGGGAGACGTCCACGTGCAACCTGTATTGAATGACAGATGTTGTATGTTGTGACAATAACCTCAACTGACGCTAAATAACCTTCTTTCTCTGGAGATAAGGATTTATATTATCATTAATTTAGTATAATAGGCTATATCGAAAAATGAGTTACTTGTTTATGTTGCGTAAGTAAACTGCACTATGACGACAAGGGATCAACAGGGACTTGTGTTTCATGTGTACGAAATTGGATTGGAACTGAGTTTTCAGTTTCGAAATCCTTGCCTTCTTTATTCACTGACTATCCTCCGTAACATAATTATCAGTACAGTAGACCCTTCCTATAATCACGCTATTGGGAACAACGCAACTTTTGTTGAAACGTGCTTAATAGTAGTCAAACCTCGTTACACCGAAATGTAAGGACAAATATTGAAATAAAAAGAATCGAATATGCCGAAGATAATATTCACCAAGGAAAATTATGACTGTTTATATACAGTATCTAACTACCGTTTGAGTAATGAATTTCGATATAGGGAAAATTTTAACTGCGTAAATAAAGTGGTAACAGATTTCGATAGAGATTTTCTAGCTGTTACCGTGCGTGAGTGTGTAACTTGTGCACTAATACTAAATGCAAACAGTCCCGCTGAGCGGAAATCACGTCACCTTTAGCCTTAATCCTGACACCCGTCATTAGCAAATAAAATAATGCTTTGCTTATTATCGTAATCATTTTGATATTTAAATAAGTAATCTATTCCAAAGCTTTGAAAGAGCATAGTCAGCTATAGAGTTTATGTTAGGAGACGGAGACATTTGGTCCAGAATTGAGACAGGTTCCCAATTAATTGAGATACAACATGCATATATTATGAAAAAACGTTCACCACAAAAGTAGCTTTGTCTTATAAGGCTTTCTGTGGCAAGCCAACAAAGAAGACTTGTAACATAATAACGTTTACACAACATAACCTTTTCCCATGGGAGGACTTTTACTAGAAATCATGCCTCCAGGTCATTAATATTTAGTGAAATTCAGAAGAAAAAACATTTGAACAGCTGCTTTTGTAGTTTAATTGTTTTAATTAAAAGTCTTGATGCCAAGAACTTAGTTAAATTGAGGCAGACTGCAAGAAAACCAGACAAAGTGAACATTCTGAATGAGTATGAGAGGCTGGTGTGACTAATTTGACTAATAGCATTTTGATTATCACAATAATAACTTGACACAAATTTTATGAAGCAAACTTCTATTACTATCTAAAAGTTATACATGATTAATACAGGATTATCTCTATATAAAAAATATAATATGAACTTAATTTACATTAAGTCTACTATTACTATTACTATGGAACCCAAGAATTACAGCACCATTAGAAGTATTTTAAAGAAAAAATTGCCCCTTATGTTTTTAAAATCATGATACCCAAACTCTCCAGGAATATTTAGATCAAGAAAAAATCACTTATGAAATTTAAATTACTTTTTTACTTTTAATAAAGGTCATCTCTTATTTTCTTTAACTTCAGTTTGAGCAATGTGTTGAGTTTGCTGTTTTCTTAAAAATTCAACCTCACTTTCAAGTCTTTAAATTTTATCTAACAATTCTTGCCTTTGCTTATTATGCCAGTCCTTTGAAACATCTAAGGCTTCCAAATGAAAACTAATCTCTTCCTTGGCACTGTCAAATTGCTGTTTTAAATCCTTGTTTTGCTGTTCTAATCACCAACATAACTTTGCCCCATTATTTCAGCTACTGAAAGGGTTTCAACTGGTTTATTTTTTCTTAAATCGCAAAAGCAATTTATTATACCATTCGTCACTAGGTGATTTCTGACGTTTTCCAAATGAGTGCGGCCAATTCCTAACATATTGAGTTACGTTTTCTGACAAAGAGGCGTATTGCAATCTCAATAGTAAAACGTTCTCTTATTAGTACGCGTTTTCTTTTTAAGACGTCGACCAGCAGTTATTTCTCCACCATTCATTGCTCTTTCAACTGGGCCATTAAAATATATATCTTGTTCGGATCTAGAGAGAGCTTGAAACGCCTCACTTAATTTTCTCTCGGAATTATCACTAACGCAGCCTAGCTCCAAGAAATGTATGGCTTTGTCATATTCGGTGAAACTGTTATAATTATAAATTTCCATATACGAGTAATCCTACACATATTTTTTATTTTTTTGCAATTTTTTCTGTTGCTTTATATTAATGTACTTTACTTGTTTGAACTTGGCTGACCCTCTTATACGTTATTTATTTCACATGTAATTTCTATGGCCTTTGTGCATATTGTCGAGCCAATACTCGGGGGAGAGCGGAACGAATATTGACCTTGGGATTTAGCCTTTTTCCAACGAGATCCTTGATTAAATAGTAAATAGCAAATAGTGAATAGCGAGTCGTAAACAACAAACAACAACAACAACAACAAACAACAACAACAACAACAACAACAAACAATCGTAAATAGCGAACATCGAATAATGTAAGTGATATGCTAATAAGCATACCCGTGAAATGGACAATCACATATTACTCCCAAACTGATCACAGTGACAAGAACAACGATCACACTATCCACCATAATCCCCGAATATAACAATAACCCATATTTTTCGTCTTTTCAAAAACGATAGCTAAATGATCTACTATTATAAACAACTGATTGAATATTCCCCTTTTATATATTCCTCCGCATAAACCAGTGTCCATCATCAGCTTTCCCTGATTTGTTTGAAAGAAAAGTCTCCCCTCCATCACAAATTCAATTCAAGATTCATAAAACTAAATACTCAACAATGTGACTACTGCTATTCACGCAAATGGCGTAAAAGAAAAGAGAACGGAAATCCGACTATTAAACCATAGATCAACTCAATCATCAACTTATCTACAATAGCGGTCATAAGTATCCTACCGGTCATATCCTGCAAATTTACATAATAACAAGCGGCAGTATACATTATTAAATACTTCCAAACCATAAAAATGACCAAGCTAAAATTTAACAAATGCTGTGTCATATGCACTGACTGTAAGTAAGACTCTCTTCTTTTTTTTGTAGATATCTCGTATAGTATAGAAACCTATTGTTTTTTTTTGTCCCACATACTATACTATATATTAATATCTCCAATTGACTGAAAATTTATTGATGTGCATAATAAATCTCAATACAGTCATATAGTCACAAATAATTTATAACAACTACACAAATTAATTGATGTTTGTAACTGAAAATACTTCCCAATCCACCCAATTAAAACTATCTGTGGTAGACCTTATTGCAATCTGGTATGTTGATTTTTTAGAATAAGGTTTAACAGACTTTCTACTAGCGATACAAGCACCAAACTGTAAGTCAGTACCATTTCCAAAACGAGGATAGCTACCTTGATGTTCAAAAACAGCATACTGACTATCAACAACAAAACTCACTATGCTTTCATCTACACTATCTTTATTTAATGAAAATATAAAACTTTCTGATGTTGTAGCCCATCTACCCGCCGTATATGTCGGTAATGAAGAGGAATCACTCCAAGCAATTGGATTGTATCCACCAAGAATTTCTTCTGTATTCAATACTTTTCCAACAGCTACTGTAGGCCCTTTCCCAGCACACATTTTTCGAAAATTTTCATGTGTATTACCATCCCTACTGTGTCTATAAAGTAGGGTAAATTTATAGAAACAACTGCTCTTCCCAGATGCTCTTTGACTTTTTCGGTTTCTCGTCATTGGTTCCATTATTTTTTGTGTAATCCATGCTGCTTGTTGTTCATTAATGATAACTGAGTCAATATCAGCATTAACTATAACATTAAGAGTTTTGTGCTCCTCATTAGTCTTATTTGTATTATCAATTGCTTGACCTTTTCTTGGAGGTAAGACTATTGATTTTGGTTTGTAATTTTTATTTGTATGATAAGAAATTATATCACGCCGCAACTCTTTTGCTAATAACTCATCATATGGAACAATTTTCTCTTGAAAATCTTCAGATGAAATAT